GATCATTTATTTAAGATTGACTACTAGAAGTCTTAGAGCCAAATTTGTGATTTTGTATTAGCCTCATTTCTGATTCTATTTTTTAATGTTCTTTTCGTTTTGATTTTTACATTTAATTTATTTTGTATGTCTCTATTTGTGTGTCTTTGATATCCTGGCAACCTACCTTAAATCCCTTCTAGGATAAACCAAGTAATTTAACCATGGACAGTTAGTTTACTGTCCTCATTTTTGTCATCTACAGAGTGGGAGAATTATAAATAAAAGCAACTGCAGTATAGATCAGTAGAGCTTTTTTGTAAGTGTGTAATAACAGGAGATGAGGATACAGTTCAGTCACAGAGCGCTTGATCTCTAGCACCACAGGAACAGAACAAAACAAAAATGTACCTAATGCATAACAATTTTCAAAGGTCATCCCAGCTTTCATCCGGCTTCATTCACTTCATAACTGGGGAGTCCCTGAGGCTTGGCACGATTTAGCTGTTATCTGAGGCACAGCTAGTAAGTGGTAAAGGCCAGGTTTCAGCTGCGACACTTGTGATTACATAGTCTAGATTTTCTTCTCTAATGATCTTTTCCAGTCCTTTATCATTTTAGCTTGTGGGCAGAATATTGAAGGTATCTTTATCAGATTTGTAGATGTGTTAAAACTTTGACAAAAATCAGTATTTTTTCGAAAAACCGCACCTCTGAGATAAGAAGCTGATGTTAACAAGCAGGCATTTTACAGAGACTGGTATGAGATTAGTAGAGTGAGAGTGTTCTGAGAGTTTCGAGCCTTGTTGCAATGTGAGCCAAAAAATGAGTCTTGTTTCAGGAGCAGGGATTGCAGAAGCAGCAGTTTGTAGTCTTACCCTATGAGCGTGAATCTGTCCCTGCACCGTTTCACATGAACATTGACAAATGCAGTGCTTGGCAGTTGGTGAAAGTGGTGAGGCCTGTATCCCTTGAAGTGGCTTGTCTGCATTTAGAGGAGGGAATGGCAGCAGTGCATAGTACATGTTCTTTTCAGCTTCCAAGCATGAAGGTAGGGCTGCTAGATGAAAGTGGCCGGGAGGCAGAGCCGTGCAGGAAGAGCCCGCCAGTGGTGTCAGGGCTCCCCAAGAGGGTGGGTTGCAGGTGGAGAGCTGGTGGAGGCCTCCATCAGCAGGAGCTTGGTGCCTGCCGCCAGGGCTCTAAGGGACCCCTGGATTGGGAGCTGAGTTAGATAACTATAGTGTTCTGGCTTTATCATTCTGTTTGCACTTAGGAACATGTAGTAGAAATGACGGAAGACAATGCTTCCGCTTTTACTGGCCCATAGAAAACCTTTTCTTTCTTATTCCTTTTTTTTTTTTTTTTTTAAGCAACAGGCTGTTTTCTTTGAAAACCTTGAAACGTTATCATGGAAAGAGAACCATTTGGCACTCTTGAGATACTGTGTTTGGATTGAAGGAGGAAGGATGGTTCCAGCCACGCCTGTACTCCCAGCACTCGGCAGGAGACCAGCCTGGGCTACAAAGCGAGCTCAAGGCCAGCCTGAACTGCATAGGAGACCCTGCCTCAGAAAGACAAAACAAAACAAAAAAAAGAAAATGGTTCCATAGACAAATGACTTGTTTGCCTCAATAAATGGTCATATTTTTGTTTATGTGCCTCTTTTTTCCCCCTTTGCAGAACAAAAAGAGCAAAATGTGTTAAAATTTAAGACAAAAATCTGTATATATGGCCAGTTACATACAGTCCACAGAAAACCACATCCTTGAACTCAGTAGTTGGTAAATGCTCAGCTGTCCGCATGGAAAGTCGTAGACCACTGTGTAAATGAACTCTCTTGCGTTGTCGTGGCCTTCCTGGGACACAACATTTGTTACTAAAAGGCAGCCTTTTGCAGAAGAACTATATGTCTAATTCTTAGTATTTTGAAAAGTGCTTTCCTCTTAGAGTGTCTTGGGATACTTTAGGTCTCATACCCCTCCCAAAATGCTTGGCGCCAGCAGTGTTTTAGGGTTTGAATTTTTTTAAGATTTTGGAATGTTTGCATATACATAATGAGATATCTTGGGGGTGGAACCCAAGTTTAAACATGAAATTCTTTTTTTTTTTTTTTTTTTAACTTGAGACAAGGTCTTGCTAGTTCAGGCTGGTCTTGAATTCAGTATGTAGCCCAGGCTGGCTTCCAACTCAAAGCAATCATCCTGCCTCAGCCTCCTGAGGGCAGCGATTACAGTGTGCCACCACACCTAGCTTTTGTCTTTTACACATAACAGCCTTTGAAGTAATTTTATACACTATTGTTAGTGCACCTTGGTTTTGACTGCCAGATGATGTCAGGCATTTTCTACTTTAGTCAGCTCTCAGACAGTTTCGGGTTTGGATTTTTGGATAATGGATATTCAACCTGTATATGATTTGGGAATAGTGTCTAACATGTTTTCTGAGTACTGAAACTTCTCTAGTACCTGGAAATTAGCATATGGATAACTAAAGTCTTAGCTGTTGTGTATGCGCTTAACTTACTAATATCCCCTCAAAATAATAGCTTTCTGTGCATTTTGTTAATTCTGTGTAATAGGTTAGTGATGTGTTCTGTTGCTGTCGGGCTTATTTTCTCGTTACCTCTTTGGATTGTAATTGTGAGAGCCAGCCTCTGTGCTGTTGCCTCTCTGGTATAGTATATGAAGGTGAAAGCGTAAGAAGTATGCGTTCTGCCAGGGCACGTGGGATTCTGAGGAGTGGGAGGTTTCTCTTTGCAAGTTACTCAGCAGAGCAGCCAGCACTGTGCAGTATCATGTTTTTAACTGTAACTTGGCAGCAGAGAGGTTAAAACGACAAAGTGTATAATGACCTTTAGGACCAGAAGAGCTGTGACAGTGCTTTGCATATAACTTCAGAAATTAATGCTTCATTTGTGTCTTGCAGCAAAAGTCCAGACGGACCCGCCCTCGGTGCCGATCTGTGACTTGTACCCTAGTGGCGTGTTCCCGAAGGGGCAGGAGTGCGAGTACCCACCCACGCAAGACGGGTAAGGCCGGAGGCAGCACGCCGTGGCTCCATGTAGTGGGATCTTAGCTGCAAAGTGGATTGGATTTTCCTCAGCACTTTACTTTTTTATTAAAAGCTTAAGAATTCGTTGTGAAGGAAATGCAGTAGAAGCCCTCTTAAAAATGATTGGGACCAGTAGCAGATTGGTTAATCAAAAATGTGTATTAAAGTGGGGATTACAAAAAAGTGAAAATCTTTGTAGGTAAATGTTAACTTAAACTTGTCTTTTTGCATCTCAACATTTCAGCATGGATTTGAATTGGAATCTTTTTTTTTTTTGCTTTTTGAGACAGGGTCTCCTTATGCAGTTGAGGCTGGCCTTGAGTTCACTTTGTAGCCCATGCTGGTCTTAAACTCACAACCTCCTGCCTCAGCTTCCTGAGTTCAGGGATTACAGGTGTGTGCCACCATGCCCAGCTACATTGGATTCTAATTTTCCTCCATAATTCTTACCCATAATGCATTATTTATGATTTCCGTTTTGGGGACATGAGGGTTGACACCTGCCTATGTCTACATTTTTTCCTGAAAACGGTTATAGTACTTACCTAGACTTAGTTTGACAGAGAGTTTTTTGATACTTGTCTTCGTTGAGACTTAAATTCCTTTTCATGTAAGGGTGTTAAATTATATAATTACAGTAACAAGCACAGATGGCTTCAGCAGGTTTGGTAGCCAACTCACCTGACTTTTTGGAGACAAGGTCTCATTGTGTAGTCCAGGCTGGCCTTGAACTCATAGCAGTCCTCCCGCCTCAGCCTCCTGAGTGCTGGGGATTATAGGCGTGTGCCACCATACCTGGCCTCACCAGACTCTTGGGAGTGCCTTGTGAGGATACATTTCAGCTGGCTAGCAGAGGCTCATGGGGTGAGAGCTGGGAGCAGGGCCCCAGGCACACTACCTGTGTCTGTGTCCTGGTTTTCAGGCTTAGCTTTGTGGTGGGTTTTCATCCCCTCATCCGTAAGGTGGACAAGTCACGTGAACGATGATGAATGCAAAGCACTTAGCTGAATAGCAGATGCTTAGGGAGTGTGCAGCCAGCAGCTGTTACTGTCAGGAGAGCGGTAGCGCGGCAGCCACAGGTACTGGGGGTAGATGGGCCTGGTCTGCGTGGCTCACAGAAGGTTGGTTCACCTGCTCATTGCAGCAGCTGGCTGAGAGAGCTTTACTGTGGCATTCTTTTCTTGGGCTGTATAGTCACATGTTTTTCTTAAAACAGAAAAGGATTTTATGTTAAATTGTCACCATTCTTAAATATAGATATTCTTAGGGAATAAGTCCGTAAAATTCTGGAATTTTATGGTATAGACATCTTTTCTTTAAGTTCATCAATTGCTATCCCTACCTTTCTTTTGTCTTTTTGAGGCAGAGTTCTGCTATGCAATTCAGGCTGACCTTGAGTCCATGTTGTAGCCCAGGCTGGTTTCGAACTTGCAGTGACCCTCCTGCCTTAGCCTCCCGAGTGCTGGGTCACAGGCATGTGCCACCACGCTCGGCTGCTGTCCTTACCTATCCCTGTCACAGATACATGTAATTTTTCGTTAATTACGTATATTTTTTAGTACAGGATATGACCACGTTTATTTTATTTATTTATTTTTTCTTCACTTTTAGTTGTATAGAGTTTTTCTTTGGCAGGCACAGGATTTTAGAATCGAGGTCGATCTTACACATACTTAGCTCCATCTTAAAGATGAGGAGACAGAAACCCGGAGAGGCTAACTGACTTTCCCAGGGTTATCATCAGTACTGCCAAGACTGAGTGGAGCTGGACACAGGCGTCCTGACTCCTGAGCCAGTGCTCCTCCCTGCTGCCCCACAGACGTTCGAAAGCAGCATGCTGGAAGAGAGAGAGGAGGCGCCCATTTTCACAAATAGTGTCCACCAATCTACACCGTTAGCCAGCAGGGCAAACTGTAAGGTCTCCTAACTAAAGGAGGTTGAGGGGGCCCTGCAGCTTCAGGCAGGCCGGCCAGCGTTCTTTTTGAGGGTTCTTTCAACCTGCCATAATGGAATAGGAGCAATAGAAGCCTAAGGGGCAAAACATTTAGAAGCACAGAAAATACGCCTCATTCAGTCTGCTTTTCGCAACCATGTCAGCTTAGCCTGGGGATGTAGCTGCCACACATGCCCAAGGCCCAGCCTGAGCACTTCTGGGGCATATTCTTTCAAAAGGAGAAAGTGTATCTCCCCAGTGTCTCATGAAAGAACATGAGTCTGCAGCGTTATCCAGTCCTCGTCTTTCCTATTTCCAGGCCCTACCTGAATGAGAGCATAGAAGTCTCACTTTAACCAGAGAAACGAATTCAGAGCCCCTCTTCAACCACATTACCTTCTCAGCAGCCCCCAGCAGAGTCAGTCTTTCCTGGCTAGCAAGCTGAGAGGCCAAGAGGGGCCCTTCATCCCTGCTACAACCTAGAAAAGTCCAGCGGGCGAGGAAGGGGAGAGGGCTCACGTTGCCCCGCAGGCTTGCTGGTGACAAGGAGGACTTTCTCTGGGGCAGGTCCTGTGGGGTGGGGATGTAGTCACCAGTCACCAGGTTCCTGTCTGGCCCTGCACTTGGCAGCTGTGTTTTCTTTGTCTTGGCTTTGGCCATGTTGTAGTCTCCTGAGTCAAAGCACTTTTGCCCTTTCCAGAGTCTCTTCATGAGGAAGTCGGAGCCTCCAGGCTTGGGCTTGGATATTTGGCTTTTAGCTTTGCCTCCTCAGCTCTCTCGGGACGAATACCTTCTTTCTTCTGCATGTCCTGCTTCTCCTCACCAGTCTTCTCCGCAGGGTTTGCGTCTTTGTGCTTCTGGGACATGGTGGGACGGGACTGGAGTGTAGGGGGCCCAGGAAGTCAGCCAGAGACACGAGAGGGAGGGGGACGGAGACAACGTGAGCTGCTGCTTTGGCTCCTGTCACTGTGGTTGCTCAGTTAAAATTGACCACATTTATTTAAAAATTGTAATCTTCTGTTTATTTTTTTGCTTGTCCCCTCTTCTTTCCCTTCCTTCCAGACCCATGTTACCCTCCCCAGCAGCTGGCCTTCTGTATTTTTCTGGGCTCATATGTGTACATCTGTGTTTGCTTTGGGAATGTTTTGGTCATTGTTTGTTTTTAAAAGTGGACTCATAGGCACACTCACCTCTCCTTGCTTTTCCACTCGGTGTCAGCTCTTAGAAGTCCCTCCAGCTCTTAGTAGAATAGCTCAGTGTGTTAAATGGCCTTAGAATATCTCATAGTATGAATGCCATTCTCTTAAGTGATGGACGTTCACTTTATAGCTAATAGTTTTTGCCGCTGTAAGCCATTCTGCAGTAAACTTCTAGGTGAGTAACTATGTACTATGTATATTGATATATGGGTAGTTTTTAATTTTCCAGAGGTGAGATTGTAGAATTAAAGGGTATTAATACTTTACAGTTCTTAAAACTACAGATGATTGCCAGGCGTGGTGGCGCACACCTGTAATCTCAGCACTAGGGAGGCTGAGGCAGGAGGATCATTGCGAGTTCAAGACCAGCCTGGGCTACAAAGTGAGCTCAATGCCAGCCTGAACTGCAGAGCAGGACCGTGTCTCAAAAAAAGACAAAAAAAAGCAACAAAACTACAGATGATTTTGAGCATGTTATGATTGTTGGCTTTTTTATGGTATCTTTTGCTCTTCCAGGAGCTTTAAAATTTTACTTTTTTATTTTTTATTTTTGGAGGTTAGGTAGGAAAATTTATTGGAGAATAGGAGTGGAGAATGGGGAATAAGAATAGCTCCTAAGAGACAGGAGGGGGCACCATAGGAATGAGTTGCCTGAGGTTTAAAATTTTAAAGGTATTATATGTCCATATTTTATACTTCTGGGTTCATAGCAGTCTTAGATTTATTTTATGCTTTATTATGTCTTTAGGAGGTTATATTTTTGTATTTTGGTTTTTTTTTTTTGTCTTTTTGAGACAGGGTCTCACTGTGCAGTTCAGGCTGGCCTTGAGCTCACAGTAGCCTGTAGCCCAGGCTGGTCTTGAACTCACAGCAATCCTCCTGCCTCAGCCTCCCGAGTGCTAGGATTCCAGGCGTGTGCCACCACACCCGGCTAGGAGGTTATGATCTGGAGGTTTTTGTGTAATGCAGTTTACTTTCTTGCAAATGGGATAACCTGTGTATTGTTCCTTAAATAATTCATCCTACTGAGTCGAATGGACACCTTTATCCTATACTGCATGCTCACATACCATGAAGTCAATTTCAAGATTATTCTTATTTCAGTGATGTTTATCTGTTTTTTTTTTTTTTTTTTTTTTTTTTTGGTACTGGGAATCGAACTCACAACCTCATGCTTGCCAGGCAGGCGCTGTGCTGCTGACCTGTATCCCCAGCCCCTGTTTAGCTGTTCTTATGCTAATATAATTTGGGTTTTATGTCAGAAACTTAATAATATAGTTTGATAACTTGGTAAGACAAGTTATTTCTGTCACACACAGAATGCCCTTGTCAGAATTCTGATCTGCATTGTGTTATATTTATATAATAGTTTCTGAAAATTACTAGTTTATCACCATCTTGTGCAGTGTCCTGCTGTTTTTTTTTCACTTACCCAGTTTTTAGGTTTTTTGAGGTAGGCCTTGCTCTGCCACTGAGCTACATGCTCAGTCCTGGGATTTTTTCATATTCTGATGTGCTAGAAGCAGAATGACTAGTCATTTTGACATTCTATTCGTTCATTTATTTTGTCTTTTTTTTTCAATAATTTTTGGTTTTTTTGAGACAGGATCTCAGTATTTACTTACAGGCTGGCCCTGAACTCACGGCAAGCCTCCTGCCTCAGCCTCCAAGTGCTGGGATTATAGGTGTGTGCCTGATAGTTCCCTAAAAGAAGAGTTTCCTCTTATCAACTGTGAATTAACTATACTGGCTTTTTGGAGCCAGATTTAAAAGATGTTCTATTATTTGTTATTGTCTTTGGTCAGTCTTTCATTCTTACATCTGGTGGATTGAGCAGCTTCATTGAAGAGAACAGTATGTAATGTAGCAACCATTGTTAATTCCTATCATTTTGTTTTGAGGTCATGTATCATTTTTGTTGTTTCTGTGTTGTTTTTGTCTTCATTGTTGTTTTGTTAGGTTTTTTCTCTTTAAAATAAAATAAAGGGGCTGGAGATTTAGCTCAGCGGCACAGCGCCTGCCTGGCAAGCACGAGGTCGTGAGTTTGATTCCTAGTACTGGAAAAAAAAACAAAAAGAAACAATAAAGTAGGTTTTATAAATATACCATGTAATGCTTTGGAATGCAGATACAATTAGCTTGTAAGTTTTCCCTGTGGGGTGTCATAAATATTGTGGCTGTTTAAAATTAGTGTTTGGGTTTTTTGTCTTTTTTTTTGGACAGGATCTCGCTATGCAGTTCAAGCTCGCCTTGAGCTCACTTTGTAGCCCAGGTTGGCCTCGAACTTGCAACGATCCTCCTGCCTCACCCTCCCAAGTGCTGGGATTGCAGGCGTGCGCCACCACGCCTGGCCTTGTTTAAAATTAGTTAACATTTAGATACGTTTGTATCTTGATTGTGCCATTATTTCACAGCCAGTGATAAAAATGATGCATCGGCCGGTTGTGGTGGTACATGCCTGTGATCCTAGCGCTTTGGGAGGCTGAGGCAGGAGGACCGAAGGTGTAATCCCAGCTTGGGCAACTCAGTAATTTAGCAAGACCTCGTTGCAGAATTAAAAAATAAAATTGTCTGGGGATGTACCCCAGGTAGAAGGCCCTGAGTTCAATCCCGAATACTCCTTTGCCTCACAAATCCAAGAAGTAGGATGTATGTACATGTTCTGTAAATACTCCCTGTAAAGGACAGCTTTTAAGCAGTTAGGGAGGTTAAAGCTGACTGGAGTTGGTGGCACGATATTGTGAGGTTATATGCTTGTATCAGCAGATTGACGGAAAAGCTGAAGTCCCTGCAGTGCTGTGGTAGGATGGACTCCTGGGCCTCTGCAGGAGTCACAGGTGCTGGCCGTGGGCTCTGGACCGTGATGCGCAGTCAGCGCTTGGACCTTGGCTTAGGCGTGCTCATTTAGAGTGGCCTTGGGTAGTTTTTTCCATGAAGGAACAGTAGCGGTTAGGCTTTGAGCATTACCTCTGCTTTTGCAGTGCAGTCTGTCCATGAGTGAGCACAGCTGTGTTGCATTAAAATGTCACACAGCCAGTGCCGCCTGCTCCTCCCGCAGGCTGTGCCCTGCTGAGCCACTGGCCTGGGCACAAGGACATTTAAAGGCACCACTTCCTTTGCTAGTGATCACTGCATTATGAACTGTATATTCAGCACAAACTAAGAATGTGTGAAAGTAGCACCAGGTTTTAAGAAGATTTTCATTCTACAGCAATTACTGTTTTGAAAATAGCTGCTTGAAGGGAGTTGATACTTTTTGTTCCAGATCCTAAACATAAAAATCTGTTAAACCTGGCAATTTTAAAATACGCAAGCCATGTCCTAAATAGAAGATTACTTTTAGTATATATGCAATTGGAGGAATTCTGTACCAACATGTAATAGTATGTGTTTTGAGGAGATTTTCTAGGTCAGGTTTTTGGGTTGATATTTCCAGCCCTTTGTATCATTGGGCCCTGCATCTGTGGATCCAACCAATTGTAGACCAAAAACGCTTTTTTAAAAATTGTATCTGTAGGGCTGGGGATGTAGCTCAGTGGCACAGGGCCTGTCTAGCAGGCACAGGGCCCTGAGTTCAATTCCCGGCACCCAAAAAAAAAAAAAAAAAAATTACATCTGTACTGAATATATACACATTTTTTTCTTGTTCTCTAAACAACAGGGTATCAGCTATTTTCATAGCATTCATATTACGGGGTTTTTTTTGTTTTTTTTTTTCCGGTATCCGGGAATCAAACTCACGACCTTGCACTTGCCAGGCAGGCGGTGTGCCACTCAGCTAAATCCCCAGCCCCTCATATTATGTTAAATATTTAGAATAACCCAGTGATGATTTAGGATGTTACACTTAAGTTATACCCAGATGCTCGACCCATTTCTATAAAAGGTTTTCGCATAGTGGGCCTTGGCGTGTGTGGGGGTTGGTAGTTCTGTGAGAACCCGTCTCCTGATTTTGGTGGCACTTCTTTGAAGTCTCATAAGTATCTCTTAGCTCAGGGATGACTATTTTTTCCCCTCCCTGCTTGGTTCTGGGATTTTTGTATGGCTTCTCAGGTTCTCTCCTGTTTTGTCATTTTGTGTTGGCAGGGTTTAGTCTTTCTGCTCTGAGTGAAATCTCAGTTGAAATGGTTTTTCCCTCAAGAATCCTAAAATAAGACTTAGCTTGGTTTGGGTTGATTGCAAGAATGTGGCTTTTGGTGTTTCAGAAACTTTGTTGACATGCCAAAACTGAATGTATAATATGCTCTTACCTAAAATATCTTGCTTGGTATATTTTTATCCCCCTCAGCTTTTATGTTTGTTCTGCTGATTTTCAAATGACTCATGCTATGCTCTGCCTGTTCTAAAGGCGAACAGCTGCTTGGAGAACTACAAGTGAAGAAAAGAAAGCATTAGATCAGGCTAGCGAAGAGATTTGGAATGATTTTCGAGAAGCTGCGGAAGCACATCGGCAAGTTAGAAAATACGTTATGAGTTGGATCAAGCCTGGGATGACAATGATAGAAATCTGGTAAAAAGACTACATTTGTAAAGACATGAAACAATTAAAAAAAAACTAGTACTGATTTTCCAATTGAAATATTTGGCTTTCCATGACCACTTTGCTAATAAAGTTGAAAAATTGTGACGTATCTTGCAAGCTCTTGTGGTGTAGCTCAGATGAGGAAACCCTAAGAGGCACCCAGTGTGCATCTTGGCCACCTGCTCTGTGCACACGCACACTCAGGTGCACGTGCACGGCGAACTGGTCCGACTGTCTGGACGCTTGTTTTGCTCTGGGACAATTTGTAAGAATGAGAAGTTGCTATAGGAAGTGCCTAGACTAGACACACAGCGTGATTATGATGCAGTCAAAAAAACCAGTAAAATTGTTTCTCTAGTTTCCACCTTGAGAAAAATCCTATAAAAGATGACTTGTTAGATTGTCAGTATTTAAAATATAAATAAAATCAATTTGTTGAAGTTGCAACTTCCTGGCAAACTTAGTTGAAAGTAGATTGTGTTTTCTAGAGATTTTTAATAGAATCTGTTCCTTTATGTTTTATAGATGAGGTATTTTCATAGCATCAGGAAACTGTTCCGTGTTCAGAAAGTGCTCCTGTCACTGAGGATTTTAAGGGTTTTATAAACTTGGTGGACTTGAGCTACACAGCGTGTAAAGGTGGGCCGCGGAAATAACCGAGTCACTATTCCTTTTTGTTTCAGTGAGAAGCTGGAGGACTGTTCTCGCAAGCTTATAAAAGAGAACGGCTTGAACGCGGGACTGGCGTTTCCGACTGGGTGTTCTCTCAATAACTGTGCCGCTCACTACACGCCCAACGCAGGGGACACCACGGTGTTACAGTACGATGACATCTGTAAGATCGACTTCGGAACGCATATAAGCGGTGAGTTTGTGGGAACGATCCCTGTCTTCTGCTCCCACCCAGAAAAAATAAAATCTTCAGTTTTGCATGTATTAGATGGAGGTGTAAATACCGAACCTGAAAGTTTTGTTCATGCCTTCATATGTTTCTGTAGAGCTGTGTTCAGATTTACTCTAAAGCATCCTACTAAAAGGGAAGGCTGTTGGGAAATTGAGGTTTATTTTTGTATCAAGGCACAGAATTAGCCTGTATTTCTTCATTCATGTCATTGTTTTCTATGTCTTATACATTTAAATAAACATTTGTCCAGAGCCTTCCAGGTTTTCACTTGTATATACATGTTTGCTTTTCTAAATTCCCGAAAGTTATATCCCCAAGTACCCTGTCACCTCACTTCCAGGCAAGAAAGCAAGCTGCGGTGTTGAGTCCTGACCTGTGGCTTCCTAACTTGGACATGTGGCTTTGTGTTCAGCGCTCTGTGGTCCTGTACATTTCCCCTGCCCTGTGTGTGGCTCGTCCTTGTTTCCTGTCTTCTCTTGCTTTCATCTTGTTTCTGTTTATCAGTGTGCATCACAGCGTGGGAGGGAGAGTGTGGCATGGACGCTCTCTCGGAGTAACATTTGCTAACCTTGTAACTCAGCAGTTTTATTCTGAAATCTGTGTACTCTGTACTCTTTGCCTCTGATAATACATGATGTTTGGGGACCCGGAATGTTGTTCTCCTTTGAGCCCATCATTCTTTCAGTTTTTTGAGACAGGATCCAGCTATGTGGTTGAGGCTGGCCTCAAATTGAAGACGCTCGTCCTGCCTCAGCCTCCTGATTACTGGGGTTGCAGGAGTGTGCCACCATGCCTGCCTCTCCATTTTCTTTTTGTTTTAAGTGTTTTATGTTGGAGATTAATAAATGCTATAAAGAAAAAATATAAATACTATAAATGATAAGTAAACTTACAGATGAATTTTTTCCTTTCAGGTAGGATAATTGACTGTGCTTTTACTGTCACTTTTAATCCCAAATATGATATATTATTAAAAGCTGTAAAAGATGCCACTAATACTGGAATAAAGGTAGGTGAGCTGCAAGCACTGTTCCTTTGATTTTTTTTTTTTTTTTTTTTTTTTCTGAGACAGGACCTTGCTATGCGTTTCAGGCTATCCTTGAACTCACTTTGTAGCCCAGGCTGGGTTTGAGCTTCCCAACTGCTGGTGCTGGGATTACAGCTGTGCACACCCAGCTCTTTGAATGTCTTTTGAGTGCTTGCTTGATAGTCTGTTCTAAGGTCTGTGGACAGTTAAGGTGAACGACTCAATGTACTGCCTTGAAGGTCTTGCGTAGTTAATGGTAATATATAGCATACCAAAAGTTTCTTACAATTCAACTTTACAAATATTTATTAAAACGAAGTTTGGATATGTTTTCGTCTGTAAAAGTTGTGTGTTTGGGGTTTTTGTTTATTTTTAGTTAATGAACTTATTTTCTAGACTAGTTTTAGTTTCCCATCAAAATGGAGCAGCAGGTCTGAAGCTTTCCCTTACACTGCCTGCCCCACCCCCTCCACTGTCAGTGGCCCTCATGAGAGGCGCGGCTATGATACTGTAGGTCAGCGTGATGCTGTAGGAACAGCCCAAGGCCTGTGTTCCCAGTAGGCAGCACTCTTTGTCCTACACATTTTGCGGACAGCTGCATATTGACCTGTTCACACATCCTGCAGTGCCCCCAAACACACACACTCTCTCTCTCTCTCTCTCTTTCTCTCTTACACACACACACACACACGCACACACACACACACACAGCCAAGCCCTGGTGCAGCGCAGTACCCCCCCACATTCCTGCACGTAGACCTGCCACCTTAGCTGCTTGTTTTTCTGTTCCTTTTTTACCTTCGCCACTTGTGAGTGTGCAGTTCGTTCAGTGCATTCCTGACTCTTGGGCGCCGTCAGCTTTTGCCTCCGTAGCTCGATAGACAGACACGTGAGACCCATTAGACCCGTTTAGTAACCTGCCTCACCCTCCTCCCAGCCTGCAGTAACCGCAGTGCCACCTGTGATTCTGAGTACTGGAGTCCTAGCGGAGACACGGACAGCTTGTCTTGTGACGGCTGCTTTCACTTGGCATAATGTCTTTTTTTTGTACCTGGAATCGAACTCAGGACCTTGCGCTTGCCAGACAGGCACTTGTGCCACTGAGCTACATCCCCAGCCCAGCATAAAGTCTTAAGGTACGCCAGGATTTTCTCCCTTCAGACTGAATCACCTGCGTGTGCGTGCGCGCGCGCACTCTGCATATATGTCCCTTTGGACTGTCTAGTCACCTGTCAGTGGACATTCGGGCTGCTGTTGCAGCTGCTGAGTCAGCTGGTGTGCATGAGCATATACACATCTCTAAGACGCTCTGTTTTGGATTCCTTGGGTTTTATATTCGGAAGTGGAATTACTGATCATGTGGTTATATTTCTCACTCGGAGCAGCTGCCACACTGTTTCCCACGGTGGCTGTGTCCCTTTCTGTTCCCACTCACTCTGCACGGGGAAGGGTCCCCGTCTCCCTGGCCTTGCTGCACTTGTCATCCCTGGTTGTTTTTATCAGGAGCCACCGTAGGGGTGTGTGGTGGTCTTTGTGTCACTTCCATGGTGCTCAGTGAAGGAGCAATGCTTATCGGCTGTTCGTGTCATGTCGGAGAAATGTCTGTCCAGTCCTTTGCCCTCTTGGATTGGGTTGTGTTGCTTAGGGAGTTTTCTGTATATTCCGGAAACGAGTCCTTAGCAGATACGGGATTTGCAAAGGCTTTCTCCCACTGTGTGAGTTGCTTTTATATTGTGTTGGTGTTGTGCTTTGATGTACAAAATATTTTAATTTTTATCAAATCCACTTTAGCTGTTTTTCTTTTGATGCCAGTGCCTTTGATGTCATATCCAAGAAGTCACTGCCAAATGCAGTGACAAACCTGTTTCCCTGTGTTTGCTTCTGAGTATTTCATTGCTTTAGGGCTTACAGTTAAATATTCGATCTTTTTTTGAAACAGGGTCTTACTAAGTATTCTAGGCTGGCCTCAAACTAAGTATTCTAGGCTGGCCTCAAACTTGCAGTGATCCTCCTGCCTCAGCCTTTCAAGCGGTGGGATTACAGGCGTGCGCCACCATACCCCGCTCTCTTGATGGATTTTTTGAGTTAAATTTTGCATATGTTACTGGGGCACGGAGTCCTCCTCCTTTTTTTTTCTTTTGCAGTACTAGGGATTGAATGCAGGGCCTTGGAGCTAAGCTGTCCCCCTTTTGTGGCAGGTCCTCCCCGAATTGCTCAGGCTGGGCTCCCATTTGAAGTTGTCCTGCCCCAGCACCCCCATATCTTTACTCTTTTGGGTGCAGCTAACCAGCCTGCCCAGAACTATTTGCTGAAGACTTCTTCCTGTTGGGTGGTTGGCCACAGTCACGGTCACTTGGCCATCTGTGTGGGAGTGCATTTGTGGGCTGTCTGCCGCATGAGTCTCTATGTCTGTGATCCCAGCTACCTACCTGAGAGGTGAGGGAGAGATTCGAGGCAAGATCCCGTCTCAGGATTTTTATTTTTTTTGGTTTTTCTCCGGTACCAGGAACCGAACTCACGACCTTGCGCTTGCCAGGCAGGCGCTTTTGCCGCTGAGCTAAATCCCCAGCCCCCGTCTCAGGATTTTTAAAAAGGGCCGGGGAAGTAGCTCAGTTGTGAGAGTGCTGCCTAGCATGTGTGAAGCCGTCGGAGCACCAGTAGTACTGCCAACAAAAAGGAAAAATGTCTTCAAAATAGGAAGTGTGACTCCTGTTTCTGGTTTTTTTCCCCCAAGGTTGTTTAGGCTGTGCAGCGCACAGTCCCTTGCAGGAAGTCGCAATGAATTTTTGAATATGTCCTGCTATTTCTGTGAGACATTCCACAGGAATTTGCTTGCCTGAGTGTGCCGCTGGGCCCTGAGTCCGGGGCTGCTCTTCTCATACCCCGCAAGGGCTCCCCCACTGAGCCCCACCGCCAGCGCTGACACTGGGACTTTGAAAGTTTTTTGTGGTGCTCAGGATTGACCCCCAGGGCATTCTACCACCAGGCCCCATACTCTCTGCTTTTTGTTTTTATTTGAGTCGGGATGTGGCCAAGTTGCCCAGGCTGACCTTTAACTTGTGATCCTCCTGCCTCAGCCTTCCAAATAACTGGGAGCATTTTTCCCAAGTTACATAGAAAATAACATGGACTCTCAGTCCAAAGATATAATACTTCCAGTGTTTAGACTAGTTTTCTTTATGTCCTAGTGTGGCTTGGTGCTTGTCTTACCTGGTGTTCACTGAGCCTCTTGGGTACTCGCGTCTCATCCTGCCTTTATCTCTTCAGCTGTTCTCTGCTCTTTTTTTCTCCTTCTGAGGGACCCACAGTGCAGTTTGATGCTCTTGATGCTTTCCCGCGGGCCCCAGGCTCACTCTCCTTCCTGTGTCCCAGGCCTGGCACTTGGCCTCTGTCCTGTTTTCAGCAGGCTGGTTCTCCGCTCTGCCCATCTCTGGCTTCAAATATCTTTGGGGAATCTTTTAGTTATTACACGATTCAGGTCCAGGTTTTCTGTTGTTTCTTCAAGCTCCTTGTTGATATTTCCATTATTGTGCATCTTTTCCTTTTTCTTCCCGTCCTCCTTCTTTGAGTGTCTTCAAGAGAGTTGTTTTAAAATGTTTGTGCACTTCATGCATCGGCTGTTCAGTGACTTGTTTAGTAACAGCCGTTCTTTCCTGTTTCCTGGTATGCCTTGTCATTGTTTTGCACACTGCGTGTTTGAACCTAATGTGACTCTGGAAATCCGATGCTTCCCTCTCCCCAGCTCTTGGTATTTATTGGTTTAGTGAGTTTCGTGTTTTTTCTGTCTCTGTCAAGAATCCTTCTAAGATGGAGACTTCGGGTCTCCCGAGGTCTCTCTGAGCCTGTACCTATTTCTGGGCATGCGTGTTCCCTTTTTGTAGTTTCTCATCTAGGTAGTTGTTTTGAGTGTCCTGTCTGTAATATTTGGCTCCTGAGAGGATCAAAGACAACAATGAATGGAGCCAGAGGGGAGAGGGCACTGGCCACGCGGGGGCGCTACAGTGGTTGCCACTGCCTCCTTTTGAGGATGGGGCGCAGGTCCCAGGTGTTTTGGGCACTTTGGTTTTTGTCCCCACGGGGACGTGTACCTGCTGTGGGCTGGGGTAGGGGCGGGGACGCTGCTGTCATGCTGAGGCTAACGCTGATGGAAGTGAACCCTGCCCGCACAGGTGGGCCCTGTTCTGAAGGTTTGGAGCCATGCCCCAGAGCCCCTGTGTGGTTAGGTCATAGACTCCGCGGTGCGTTGGTGTCTAGGTCAGGAGAGGAGCTCCAGGGCATAATTCATAGACTGCATTTCTCAAAAACTAACCACCTTATTATAACCCTGTTACAGTCAGAGCGTGGTTTACTTCTGCTGCTTCCGGCTCTGCTGTCTTTTTGGAATCTGCCCAGTCTCTTGAACAGGGATGTACAGTGTAAAAGTGGTTTTTCTGGTTGTCCTTTGTTTTTAAATATTAGGAAGTTAAGTCATGGTAAAATTTTGCAGTTTGATAAACAGAACCTACCTTACTATGTTTAGTGTGCTGGCATCGACGTCCGTCTGTGTGATGTGGGTGAGGCCATCCAGGAAGTTATGGAGTCCTATGAAGTGGAAATAGACGGGAAGACATACCAAGGTATGGCGCCTGCAGATGCCACTTTGAAATTAATTGTATAAACTACTATTGGTTACTTTCACTTTTCCCCCCTTCCTCTGCTGTCTCTCCGTGCTACTCGGTGTCGAACCCAGGGCCCGCCCTCTCAGCCCTTTTGTATTTTGAAACAAGGTCTCACTGAATTGCTCAGACTGGGCTTGAAATCATCATCCTTCAGCCTCAGCTTCTCAGAGTGCTTCAGTGACACATGTGTGCCACCGTGCTGGCCGGTGGCTTTCGTAAGGTCAGCTCTTTGGTCCTTGTGCCTTAGGAAGGTAGAGGAGGAGACCGGGAGAGACCCGCGCCGTGCAGGGAGGAAGTGCGGCCGTCCCTCCCTGGGAGCTGTCGCCTGCTGGGGGCGGCGGGGCGTCCTGGGAGGATCGTCTAGGCCCCCAGCGTGGGACCTGGGTTGTCGTGTCCGGGACTGGCCATCGGGACAGAGAAGCCAGAGGCCCTTTCCACTGACAGTTTCCCAATCTCTAGTTTTTGTTTTGAGTCACATTCAGAATTTGGAGACCGGTGACTTTTCTGTCCCTGTCCCTCCTGGTTCTTTGAAAAGAAGCAGTCTTAAGGTTGGCTTCTTCTGTTACCATCCCAGACTTAGTAACATGAGCTTCCCAGAAGTGTACCCTAATCCGGGAGGACACTGAGAATGTAGAGGACAGGTGCGAAGCTGTTTTGAGGACTTGTGGAGCTACAGGCTGGGCCTTTGGTTTCCTGGTTCCTTGCTGTGAAGAGCCCATTCCTCCCCCGTTGGTGATGTGTGTGTGCTGCAGCAGCTGCCGCCGCCCGCCTGCCCACCAGAGTCCTGCGGGATTTGCCCGCTTCCCTTTGTGATGAACGAGCAGTTTAACTAGCCTTACGTTGGATGTGGAACCGCACGGATCTGTGTAGTCGTCTTCAGCTCGTTTTATTTTTTTTATTTTATTTTATTTTTTTTTTCAGCTCGTTTTAGCTTCGCATTTGTGGAATACATCCCTGGGTATTTTATCATTAATGTTCTGTTGTGTAACTGCCACAATTTGTCTGTTCTGTCACTGATTTCAGGACATGGAGACTGCAGGTTTCATAAACTCATTTTGAGCCAGCACCCTTCCACCTTTTTTGTTCTGTAACCACATGAATACATTTCTCCAGTCCCTAAGCATTTGCATACGTGGCGTTTCTGTATTCAGTGACTCCCTAGATGACTCTTGTAATTCTCATCCTGTCCTCTTTCTCCCTCTCCGTTTCGCTCTCCTTAAGTAACAATCTTAGGGTGAGGTTGTCCCGTAGAGCTGTCTTGCTTTGACATAAACGCTGGAATTCTCTATGGAAAAGCCAGGAGTCTCTGTATCTTTCTCGAAAACCTGCATAACGTGTCTTTCCCTGTGTATTATGACAGTGAAGCCCATCCGCAATCTGAACGGACACTCAATTGGGCCGTACAGAATACACGCGGGGAAGACCGTGCCCATCGTGAAGGGCGGCGAGGCCACGAGGATGGAGGTATGCGGCTGCGCGGGGTCTGGGAGGCGCTGGGCTCTGCCTGCAAGCTGAGGCTCGGGATAGTTCGTGTCTGCTGTGCCGGACGCTTCTCCTCCCCTGCCAGGAACCGGCTCTCGTGTGCGGCTTGTGCTGCTCAGCCGCGCGCTCCGTCAGCTCTTCACTTGGCACTGACTGCACACGAGGGAGCGGCTCCCGGGCGACAGGGTCCCGGGGAGGAGAATGCCTGGGCTGCCAAAAAGAAAGGGGCCAGGAGGAGCAGAGGAGGCTGGCTGGGGAGGTGCAGCCGGTGGGCCATGCTGTGTTCCTGGCTGGTGGGGTCAGAGGCGGGGCCCGTGCTGGTGCTGCATTCTGAACTCGCCTTCTCTCCCCGTCCTGTGTGTTTCTGAAGGAAGGAGAAGTGTATGCCATTGAGACCTTCGGGAGCACAGGAAAGGGTGTTGTTCACGACGACATGGAGTGTTCGCATTACATGAAAAATTTTGATGTTGGGCACGTGCCAATAAGGTGAGAGGCTGCTGCTCTCCTTTCCCAGTTAGCGCAATTTTAAAAACACGGCAGACACGGGGTGGCACATTCGGTAGCGTACAGTGCTACAGCTGAGCAGCGCGTTCTGTGAAAAGTTTGCCTGCTGAATGGTGTGACTGAGATCGAAAGTAATCTCTTGAAGTCTACATTCTGCTAAAAGTGTTCATGAATATTTTGCTAGCATTCCTAAGTTTTGGGTCTTAATATTATTTCCTTGGTGAATTTCATACTTCAATGTATATCATACTTTTTTTTAACCTCTTACATAATTGGAGTCTGGATTTACACAGTTCTGTGTCTTTGGGCTTCATGCACAAAAGGCAACCTCCATAACTCCATGAGGGAGTTTGCGACTGGGAATTTAACGTACATCCGTACGGGCGGGCACATAGCCATGACGTAACTCACGCGGTGAGAGCGGCTTGACCTAGCCTGCCTGAGACCCTGGACTCCACCCCTAGTAGCAAAGGAAAAGAAGGAAAAAGAGCTGGAGCGAGCAACACGATGCGCTAGGGCTGGGCCGCTACACACTGCAGCTTTCACTGCTACTGAAGGAGTAAGGCAGAAGTTTTTAAACTTGGATTTTTCCCCTTAGGCTCCCAAGAACAAAACACTTGTTAAACGTCATCAATGAGAACTTCGGCACCCTTGCCTTCTGCCGCCGATGGCTGGATCGCCTGGGAGAAAGTAAATACTTGATGGCGCTGAAGAACCTGTGTGACTTGGGCATCGTAGACCCGTACCCACCACTGTGTGACATTAAAGGGTCATACACAGCGCAGTTCGAACACACTATCCTGCTGCGTCCGACTTGTAAAGAAGTTGTCAGCAGAGGAGATGACTATTAAACTTAGTCCAAAGCCACCTCGACATCTTTATTTTCTAAGCTTTGTTGGAATACGTTATACCAGAAATAACTTGCAACATGTTGTCGGTTTTAACAGTGGACCTGTGTAATACTTTATCCATGTTTAAAAGAATTTGATCAGAGGCAGACCATCTAATGTAATTAACCAAGGAAAAAGCTTTCAGGACTTTCAGATGTTAACTGTTTTCTTCCTGTCTAGGAAATGCTATACAGCTCAAATTAGTTAGGAATGACTTACACGTTTTGTTTGGAACACCTAAGTCATGCTTTTTGGATATTTATATTGCCATATTCTTACTTGAATGCTTTGAATGACTGACTACATCCATTTCTGCACCTATGCCCTCTGGTATTGCTTTTTAAACCTTCCTGGAATCCATTTTCTAAAAAATAAAGACATTTTCAGATCTGAGAGCTACATTTTAATGTCTGTGGTTGTAATTGTGAGCAGGAAGTAACTCCAATGTAGACTTTTACCTGGACTGTAGCTGTCTTACATGGACACATTCTTCTGACAGTGTCTAAAACAGGATCTTCCTGTGCATAGAACGGGACAGTCACCTGTTCTTCATAAACAAATAGTTTTAGGGCTATTTTGACTTTATAGAACCTTACTAGTACCCATCTTTCATTTTTTTCCTGACACTGGAAAGATACACTGAAACATGACTTAATAGGAAAATTGTGCAAACTTGAAAAAGTTCAGTGTAGTAAAAATCTCAGTATTCATCTTACTCAAAAACCAAAAGGGCTTTAAAGCCACAAAAGCAAAGAATGGGCAAACTATGTTTTGATTGTAATAGTTTGAAAGTTAGATTGAAGGCTCAAGGCCTTCTCACTAGAGCGCCCGTGCTCTCACCCCTTTCCCATGGCTGGCCTGGGTTCTCGTGCTCCTTCGGGCAGCCGTGTCCAGTTGAATGTAAGGGTGCCGGACGCTGACTTGTCTGAACTTAGCCCCACTACCGACTCTTCTATTGCTTGAATATGATTTGTTAGGAATGTTCCAACATAATTTCAGAATCATCCTGTGCCAAGGTAAAGCCTTAACTTGTGTATGCTTTAGCACGATGAGATTTTATTGCCTCTGGGATGCTATTTAGTTCTGTTAATGTTTTTCTCTTAAAAGAAACCTATGTACCTAAATCATTCGTTCCATTCAAGAGCTGCTCTTTCTGCATTAGAGCTGTAAATGAATGTTACCTTGTGGGAAAACAATCTAGATTTTAGCTGTCTGAGCTGTTACGGTGCTAATGTCCAGTAGCTCCCTTGGAATACCTTGTCCATTTTCTGTGATGCTGTACAAATGGCAGAGCTCACGAGTTTATGTCTGGATGTTTTGTTTTCTAAACCTAGGATTTAAAGACTCCTGAATGAAGGCTTGGAGCTTTCCTAGCATCTTTAGCAGTCAGCAGTAACCTTCTCAGATAAGTGTTGGGAGCAGTGGCATCGCTGTCCCTGGAATGGCTGGAAGGGAAAGATCTGTAAATAGGAAAGTGCTCACTAAGGGAAATCTGTGCTTGCCTACTAGCCGTGTATCTCTCGGAATCATTTTGTTCTGTTTACGATGATGTACCTTACTGGCAACAAGTTAATTAGTTTGATGTTTAACAATAGTGCCTTTAGTAAATTATTTTACAACCAAAACATGTCGTTTTTTGTTAGATCAACGTAGCTATTAGGTCAACATAGCAGAATGTAGAAGTCCATCTTGAGACTTGGGATACTTAGTAAGGAATCTAAATTTGTTACTCATTCAGGTTTAAAATCATAATTTAGTGGGAAACACATTTCCCATATACCATGGCCACCCCAGCGCCTCCCTCTCCGCCATAGCTGTTAGTATATTTTCAGAATGAAATACAAGCAATTACGCCATTACAAATACAGCTTTTAAGTTTTTTCTTTTAATATATGGTAAAAACCAGGTGCTACAATGTTTGACATTTTAAAAATAGTCCTTGAACTGGGGAATCCTGGGTTGGAGGCCAGCCTGGAGTATATGGCGGAAAAACAAAGTGCTTGCAAGGCAAGATGAGACACGTCAGTCTTTAATGAGGTATAAGTGTGTAACAGCGGAGATCACAGCCTGCACAGAGTTCAGTAAACCAGCAGTTTTAGCCCTAGCCATTGAATACTTCAGCTGTTCTTTGGCACAAGCTATTTGGTCAAAAAATTCTCTCTGCATTTCACCACCAGCTGCTCCAGGTAATTTGTTTCTTGAAACCTTTTGAAATGTGCTAGTAGAGGTCCCTTTCAAATTCATACTTACAAGTGACCATCTGTGGCAAATAGTCACAGGATATTACTTTTCATTGGATTTCAAGCTGCAAATGAATTTATTTCAGAGAAGAGACAAATGCTAACAGTGATTACCAGGGGCTTGTGATCTTATGTCGCCGCGCTACAGAAGCGAGTGGACCCTCTCCTTTTAAATTAGCATCAGGACTTCAAGAAAATGTACTGCGGTTATTAGGGAGGAGCGAAGAGCGTCTCACACTGTGCTCTTCTTTTGGTTGTGAGACAGGGTGCTGCCATTGAACTCACTTTGCAGCCCAGGCTGGCCTCAAACAGCGATCCTCTTGCCTCAGCCTCCTGAGCGCTAGGACTACAGGTGTGCGCCACCGCACCCAGCTCACACTGTGCTGTTAATACAAACCTGGGTAGTTTTTACTGTGCTTTGAAGAAGGCCAAGGCCCCATGATATGTAGGAGGTTTCCAGTACTTAGAGCATCCTAGCAAAAGTAAAAAATCCAGGCTTCAGCTCTTGAGCAAAATGAGACGCTACACGTTAGCCCAGTTGCCAATGGTGACCTTCTGCAGCTTATGGAGTTTTTGTTTCAGGACTTTTTTATTCCCTTACATTAACAATCTCAAGCTATATAAAGCTTTACGAGATATGTTATCAAACAGAATGAACTCACACCCAAGATAAACTACGTAAAACATAATCCACGTTCGGTAAACTCAAGCCCCAGCCATCTCTTCCTTTTCATACCCGTAGTTACAAAGTTCACTTAAAATTACATTTGTAAATCTGCCATTTTCATGTAGATATAGTTTGACTATGCCAAATAAAGAACAGTTGTTATAAAATTTTTTTGTTGTGTTTTTGAGACAGGGTCTTGCTATGTAGCCCAGGCTGGCCTTGAAAGTCACAGCGATCCTCCTGCCTCAGCTTCCAACAATTGTTACAATTTTAAATCAAATTCCATTGATCAAATTAATCTCTTCTGAGCCCCGTCATGTGCAGAGCCTCGGGAATGTCACCAAGTGTGACTGCTGGGTGTGAGGCCTTGCCGTGTCACTTTCAATGCTTTAGCTTCACGGGGCAAGGTGACTTCAGGACACAAATGGCCTGTAAGAAATGTCCTTTTCCTTTTTTTGGTTAAGATTACTTGTAAAGAAACTGTCCAATTTTCCACCTATTTACAGCTGTATAGAAGCAGGTACAAAAGATGTGACAAATGTATGTAAAGTGTCCCCTGCATTTCAGGAGATCGCACAAATTCATGATTGGAGCCAAGTAAGACATTTGCTGTAAGAGGTAACATGAGCCTGAGGTAAACGGTTTAAACAACCAAGTACTTGAAAAGTATGTATTTGTTTCATCTCTGTAAAAAAGTTTTGTTAGATACAAAATATGTACGTGTAGTATGCATGGTTCTTTTTGTCCTGGGAATCGAACTCATGACCTCACAGTTGACAGGCAGGTGCAGTACCGCCGAGCTGTATCCCCAGCCCTGCACTGATTAAGTTTAAAAAAAAAAAAAAAAAAAAAAGGCCCCAAATTATAACTCCGCCTTTAAAAAAAAGTCTTCAAGTTTCAACAAGCAAAGCGGGGTGCTGGGCTCTCTCCAGCGGGGGAGTCCGTGACGTCCGCCGGGAGCTCCGGGTGGCCGCTCTCAGGGACGCGCCGGGTGTAGAACAGGATGTAAGCCTGGGCCTTGCACACCTCGGCCATGGTGCACATGCTCAGCTTGGAGTCGTTGCAGTGCACCCAGAACCCTAGGGGAGCCACAGAAGCAGAACTCAGACGGGAAGTGCTTTCCAGTAAGAGTGTTTTCCTTGCTGAGAAGCAGCCTGGGCGGTGTATGACTCTGAAGGTATAAGTCTGATGAGGGGACCTGGCCCTACTCCCAGTGTACGTGAAGCCTAAACTCTTTTAAGTTTGTTTCTAATATCCATGATTCCTGCCCTGCCCCCAGGTCCTTAGATTCCCTCTGTAACAAAATTAACTGAAATAAACCAACATAAGGACCTATTCTTTGAAGTGTATCTTTAACAAACCTGAATTTTTTTTTTTTGGTGGTACTGAGGATTGCACAAAGGGTGTCTACACTAAGCTACACCCCCAGCCCTTTATTTTGATTCAAGGTCTAAATTTCCCAGGTCGGGCTGAAACTTGTGATCTTCCTGCCTCAGCCTCCTAGTTTTCAGGATTACAGGCAGGCTTACCCACAGCTAGCCTGACTTTCCCTTACCAAAGCTATCTTACTGTCTCCACAGCCCTTAAAAGTACTGCAAGCCTGCAGGAACTGCCGTACTTTCTGTAGTACAGCAAGTATAGTGTAGTATGATTTCCAAGTATAACCTCATGCCTTCTTTTTAAACAGCAGTATTCAGAAGGATTCCTTACTTAATATGATTCAGAAGCAAGTTAGAAATCACTAGAGCCTGAACACCAAGTTCTAAAACTAAGCCCAGGTAAACCCATTCCTCCTGTCTCTACCTCCTTCCGAGTTGTAGCAGTAGGCCGTGTAGTGTCCAGAGCCGAACCCCTTCCCGTGGTGCATGACCACAGCAGACAGGTCGTACAGAAAGCACTCGGGCCTGCGTGACCTCACGGCCTCGCTGCAGCAGTAGGGCTCCATGTTTAAGATCTCCTCAAAGCCCACGTGAACCCCGATCTTCTCTCGGTCATTGCGTCCTGACCACCTGAGGAGAAACCGGAGCGGAATGGGAGAGTGAGCGTACTCTAGGTGAGCAGTCGTAACAACGGAGAAGACGAAATTCACAGAACCTACACACCATACATGTGACTAAAACATCCTTTACGACAGCTGGCTACAGCCAAGATGGTGGCACACGCCTATAGTCCCAGGACTCAGGGAGGCTGAGGCAGGAAGATCGCAATGAGTTCAAGGCACACCTAGACTACATGGTGAGTTCAAGGCCAGTCTGAGCTACATAGCAAGACACTGTCTCAGCCCCACCTGCCCAAAGGCAGCTGACTGTAAATGGAAGGATTTACCTTATTTACCAAACAGGTCCAATCAGATTTTAAAATAGTTTGTCTACTGCAAAGAAGAAAAAATAGTAAGATAATATTATTATAATATTATCTTATAATAATAAAAAAAAGCTTCTGGAATATTATAGGGCATTTTCCTCTCCTACCAGGAAAAGTCAGGCTCAAGAGTTTTAATTCCTTACTGTACAGTCACTGTATAGAAGGGACATCCTAGATGGGAGGTGTGCAGGGGAAAAAATCCACACCACCAAACCAAAAATTCAGGGCACCTCTGAGGTGACAGGTGTCCTTCCTCTGTATTGCCCCTGAGACGACCATGGCGGCCAGCTCCCAGGCAGCTTCAGAGAGGGACACTGGCTGAGTTTCCACCCCTCAGCCTCTGGGAAGGGGACAGGCTGAAGGGTGTGCAGATGCTGCCGGCAGTGATGGACTCCCATCACCTCTGCATAATGAAGCCCCCGTAACGACCCAAAAGGAGGACTGGGACACCAGCTCAGTTGTAGAGAAGCCAAGAAAAAAAGATGGACTTAGGGAGTGTTACGTTTTTTGTTTGGCCTTTTTGAGTCAGGGTTTCGCTATGCAGTTCAGGCTGGCCTTGAACTCGTTACATAGTCCAGGCTGGCCTCAGACTTGCAGCGATACTCCTGCCTCTGCCTCCCGAGTGCTGGGATTACAGGTGCGTCCACCACACCCAGCTTGGTCAGCTTTTTGTAACCAATGCTAAGTACCTGAGAGAATGAAAGACTTAGCTCAGGGTGAGGGCGCTCCAAGGTAGGAACATCATGGCAGAGAGGCAAGGCAATGGAAAGCTGCCTGCTGCAGGGCAACCAGGGAGCAGCATGGGAGAACCAGTGAGGCGGGGCTGGGGCCAGGCACAGTCCGCCACCTTCCTCAGCTGGGCCCTTCCTGACAACATCTAGCAATGACTCATGAACCACGCACCCCTCTCCAGGCCACCTCTGACCACCGATGCACTGGGGATCAGCCTGCTCTACGTGAGCCTTTGGAGCATACTTCACACAACCCACAGCAGGGTGTTCGAGCCCTGCCTCCTCCCCGGTGCCTCGTCCTGTGCCACTTCCGCCTGGCTGCTCACCTCGTCCACCCAGACAGCACCTCCAGCCTTCTGGGTACCAGGAACCGGTTTTTTGGAAGAATTTTTCCATGGACTGGGAGTTTGGGAGGATGGCTGTACGGTGATGTGGTGCATGACATTTACTGTACACTTTGTAATTATCACACTGGAATAACTAATGGAGTAATCACACACCTCACCATCACCACAATCAGTGGAGCCCGCACTCATTTTCCCAGCTTGTTTAGCTAGAAAGTTCCATCTGGAGGTGACGAGACAGTGACATGGACGCATGTTCCTAACGTTCAGTCTACTCTGCAATCCTGTTTCAGCTGTCGCTGCAGAAAACCCTGCTGCACAGAGACGGGATGCTGGGAATGGAAGCAGGCCTTCCAGTGCTTTGGGGGCAGGCTCAAAATATTCTGTTGTGACTTTCTCCAGAGTATGTGGAGACTTGATGCTGTCTCAAACACACTTTTAAGGTCACTGTCAGACAAAGTCGACTCACTGGGCTTATGCACAAATGGGTCACGAATCCATTCCTTCCCAGTGTGGGGCTGTCTGCGGTGGGGAAATGAGGCTCAAGTGCGTTCGAAAGCAGAGACGGGTGACCATGACGCGGCAGCCAGGAGAAAGCAGGCCTCGGCTCAGTCTCTTTCCGATCGCTGCCAATACGTGAAGTCCATTCAGAACCCCGATATTCACTCGTCAGCCCGGTAACTCCAGTTTTCTTTGCCTGCAGCCACTTTACCTGCTGACCTAAACCCAGCCGTCCCCCCCGAAGGGACAGGTGAGCTCCCTGTGCAGGCTGAGCTTGTGACATGAACAAGCAAGCTGTGTGACTCGTTCTCCAGCACTGTAATGTGCTGCTGGTGGTGACTGCTATTCTAAAAGAAACCTCTAACCTGCAACTTATAAGAACCTGTAAAATAGGAAGTAAGAGCCGGATGTGACGGCACACACCTGGAATCCCAGCACTTGGAAGGCTGAGGCAGGACTGCTGCAAGCTTGAGGCCAGCCTGGACTACATAGCAAGACCCTCTCTCAAATACACAAAACAAAAAAAATAAACACATAAAAATTTTTTTAAACACATAAAAAGGGTAGGGATGTAGCTGAGTGTAAAGCCTCTGGGTTCAATCATCAGTACCAGGAAAAAAAAAACATCCTTTTTTTCTTTTTTTGTCTTTTTGAGACAGGGTCTCACTATGCAGTTCAGGCTGGTCTTGAGCTCACTTTGTAGCCCAGGCTGGCCTCAAACTCGGAATGATCCTCCTGCCTCAGCCTCCCGAGTGCTGGGATTACAGGCGTGCGCCACCATGCCTGGCTCACATATTTGCTGATTGTTCCCTGAACCTTACAGCACATAAACAACTGAGGTTAACAGTGGCCAGGCCTAGGAAGCGTTACTGAGAAGAAAGGTAATCTTGCTTCTCTAACACAGTACTTTAACTTTTAAAAAACAAGTGTCCTTTTCCTTAAAACAAACAAAATACTTAATTCACTTGACTACATATACTTTAGAAGACTAAAGGGTTTTCTGCTTGGCGTATTTGTTTTTTACAGTTCTGGGGACTGAACACTGGAGTGCTGAGCAATACTCCCAGCCCTTTTTATTTCTGAGACAGGGTCTCCCCACAGCACCCAGGCTGCCCTGGGAACTGTGATCCTCCCGCCTCGTTTCCTGACTAGCTGGCATTACAGATGTGTACCACCACACCTGGCTAGAGATCTGGCTCTTCCTAAACTGCTCTGAACTGCTATACCTTTAACCAAGTATTTCCTAAGCACAACGCATTTGTGTTAGTTACTCTAAAAAGAAGTAAATTTGAAAGCGCTATCTTCAATATGCTGAACGTTAAGCACTGCAAGCAGAATTTGCACGTCTAGCAGATAGACGCCAGGGAATGGCTCATCAGCAATGCACTCTGCAAGGGTCTGAATTAGTGAATAGGGACTGGCTTGCTGCTCACGGCCAAAGGCAACTGCTAGAATTTTCTCGTTTAAAAACAAAAGAGCACAAGTCCTCCAAGAGCATTGGCCGGTAACCTGTTGCGTGTCCTCCCACACCTGGAGCAGCAGAAGCGGAATGGATGCCGAGATCGAAGGGCACAGGCCCCTGGCTCTGCTGCTACCCACCTGAACCGCTTGAGGTGTAGCCTGAGAACCTGTGGCAGGCGGCAGATCAGGAGCTGCTTCCGGGCTTCTGTGAGTGTGAGCGGCTTTGAGGAGAACCTCCCACGCTTCGCTACAATGTGCAAGAGAATGGAGAGCAAGTTAAGGATACAAGGAAAGGAATGGAACTTTGGACTTATCTTAGACCCGAACTAATTCAGCAGCTCCCGTCTGCGGCGCTGAACTGTGCTGAAGACAGGCGCAGGCGCTGCCTCAACCTCCGCTCAACTGAAGGAAAGAAACTCAGGAGCTAGTCTCGCTAGACAAACATGTGGACATGGGTCTGGGGATTTAGCTCAGTGGCACAGCGCCTGCCTGGCAAGCGCAAGGTCATGAGTTCAATTCCCGGTACCGGAAAAACAAACAAACAAAACCTGTGAACATGAAAGTGACTTACTAACCCTGCAGCTAGCACCTCAGAATGCAGACTGCTACTCTGTATTTACAAGAGGAGTTGGCTACACCAATTAAAAAGAGAAAGTTAACTGTCCCCTACTCATCCCTTAACATACATTTCCCAATCGCCTACTTGAACAGTTACAGGGGCCACACAGCATCCCTGGGTGCAGGCCTTGCTGCCTGGACACCCCTCCACCCATGGGCTGACCTTGCCGGCCCTGCATCCCAGGGCTGTCACTCAGGTGTCTTACTTTGGCTCTTTTAGTTCTAGATCTTAAACAAGTAGCATGTGGGCTTCTTCCCGTTCTCCTGTCTCTCTGGAGGTCTACTTGTGATTCTGTCTGGCTGCCAAAACTTGCTCTCCAGGTCCGGGTCTGGGGGCACCTTGGGCCCCCAGCCACAGCAGCAGCTGCTTCTAGAGAGGAGGTGGCACCATCTGCCCGAGGCAGCGCTCCACGCCGCCTCCCCTCACCACCACCAAAGGCACCTCCACGTCACTACCGAGACCCCGCAGCCAGGCCTGAGGTCCTGTATCCACCTCTGGATCAACTCCAGACAGATTCTTTTTCTTTTTTTTTTTTTTTTGTACCAGAAATCAAATTCATGACCTCAGGCTTGCCAGGCAAGCGCTTATGCCACTGAGCTACATCCCTAGCCCTCGGATCAGCAGCAGAGCGCAGGTCCACACAGCTGCACATGGGGAGCCAATGCCCTAACATCCGCTTTGGAACACCACCGCTATGCACTGCAGCGGACTGCGCCGCCTCTATGCACTTCTGTCACTGGCTTGCGCCTCAGGAGATGCGTGCTTACAACTACATACAACTGCGCTATCTTTGTAGTATTTGTCTACCCCCAAATTTGGTGATGAAATCATGTGAGATTACTCACATTTATGTCAAGGAAAAAATACTTTATCAAACAAATCTGATGAAAGTGAATTTTTTTAAAAATCTTTTAAGTGTTAGGCTCCTTTATAAGTGTGTATATTGGACAGCACTCAGAAAAGCAAATGTGTGTCATTCTAGAAAGTCATCAACTGGTACATCACCTCCTCAGTGCTGGAACATTTGTTTCTTTTCTTTTCTTTTCCTTTTTTTTTGTCTTTTTGAGACAGGGACTCACTATGCAGTTCAGGCTGGCCTTGAGCTCACTTTGTAGCCCAGGCTGGTCTTGAACTCTCAACGATCCTCCTACCTCAGTCTCCCTCAGTGTAAGGAGTACAAGTGTGTGTGTCAATGTTTCTTGTTCATTAAAAGTTTAGTATCAGGACTGGTGATTTTGCTCAGTGGTAAAGCACCTGGCTAACACATGTGAGGCTTTGGGTATGATCCCAGAGCTGGGAAAAAAATTCAGAGCTGGGGGAAAAGAAAGTCCTCAAATCTATAATCCTAGCACTCCAGAGGTTGAGGAAGGAGGATTGTTGTGAGTCTGAGGCCAGCCTGAGCTACAGTGATTTCAGGCCAGTATGGACTACATAGTGAAACCCTATGTCAAAAAATAAAATAAAGTTCTGGAATCACTGAAACATGAAAATTAGAATACTTGAAAGTATACAACGTGAACACTAAAATCCCAAGTATGTATACTTCTAGAGGAGATAACAGCCTAGCACATCTCCCAGGGTTTACTCACTATTCCCCTGGAGGAACGTGCCCGTTTCAGGTGGCTAGCTCACCCTCCACCGGGGCTCCTGTGACCTCTTCTCAGACAGCCTTATCACTGTGGATCTTCCCTGCTGCCTTTCTCCATTAGGAAGGTGGGCGCCTTCAAAGTGTCTGACTTTGGTTCCAGTAGATGGTTTTGAATAAATCTTTGGTTTTTTGAAGCCAGTCTCCATAGTAACAACCCAACAATACATTGCTCCCTAGTAAATCTGTATGTAAAACACACATACTATCTCTGCACAAATTTCTTCCCCTCAGCCCCCGGTACCGGGAATCAAACTCACCACCTTGTGCTTGCAGGGCAGGCGCTGTGCCGCTGAGCTAAATCCCCAGCCTCCTCTGCATGTATTTCAATGTTTTGATATGTAGCGAAGAAACTCATGCAGCAAATGTCTCCTTACACCACATGACATGCTTTCCTTTTACTGTTCCTCTCTGGCACTTCTGATCCACATTCTCCAATTTAAATTTCTTATTTTATGAATCCCTTTTCTCCACAATTGACTAGAGGATAAAACATTCTGACTGTCCTCAGTAAGGCGGAAAAAAAGCAAACAAGGGCCAGGGACATAGCTCAGTGGTACAGCGCTTGCCTGGCAAGCACAAGTCCTGAGTTCGATTCTAAAAACCAACAAACAAACAAACAAACCTCAGCTCACAAATGCCAAGTGCAAAACAGAAATGTCTAGTCCAATTCCTTCTGGTGAACTAAAGTTATTTCCGTAACAGCTACTTCGGGAATTTCTTCAGCTCGCTGAGTTTATATTTCTTTCTGTTCGTCTTAGGGAAGCACAGAGAACTCTACTCACAGTTACAGTGCTCACACACGTAGACTTTTCCTTCTAAAGCTTCAGTTTCTGTGAATTTGGCCAACATTTCAGTAACCGAACATGGCTGCGAGGTAGCGTCTCTCCCGGGGCACTGGTATCTTTCCGGAAATTCCAATGACAGGTCCCAGAAAGGCTCTATGGTATTTGATTTGTTGTCACACGCAAGACACGTAACCTGCAAACAGAAATCAGTCAGTCAGATTACAATCCTCTGTCACAACGCTAACTTCTTCCACGAGGCCACTGTTAGAGAATAAATGACAATGCACCACCAGAAATCTGAGTAACTGGGGGAAATATGTCTATTTCCAGTACTGAGAACTGAACCCAGGGCCTTCACACTGAGCTTTGGTCCCCAAACCCTCATCCTCCATTTGTTTTGGGTTTTTGCGGCACTGGAAGCTAGACCTTTACACTGAGCCATAGCTACAGGCCTTTTAAAAATTTTTCAGATAGGGTTCTCAGTTGCCCAAACTAGGCACCAACTTGTGATCTTCCTGCCTCAGCTTCCCAGAGTGATGGGATTGCAGGCTTGTGTCACCATGCCTAGGTCCCTATTTGCTTTTTGGACAAGGTCTCCCTAATTTGCCAGGGCTGGCCTCAAAATGGCAATTTTTCTGCTTCAACCTCCTAAACAGCTGGGATTATAGGCACGTACCATCAGGACCAGCTGGGAGCTTTATATTCTTGCCAGGACAGTATATTATAAAATTTTCATTCCATAAGATTGGTATTAAACCCATTATGAATTGGCAGGCCTTAACGAATGGGCCTTAGACAAGCCCCAACAATGCAGTCAAATCTAAGACTTTAAAGCCAGGCCTGGTGGTACATACCTGGAATCACAGCGCTCTGGGAGGCTGAGGCAGGAGGACTGCCAAATTTGAGTGCAACCTAAAGAGATCTTGTCTCAAAATCGTAAGGAAGGGCTGAGATGAGGTGTAGCACAGTGACTAGGCCCCTCTCCAGTACCATCACCACCGAAACCAAACTAACGAACGAACGAGCACTGCCCCCCAGACTTTAGGAAACACAACTCCAGGCTCCAATAGGCGCACATTGTGTCTGTGTACACACACGCATATCTTCACCTGCATTTCCTGTATCTATGTCCTGGTGCTTGTAATTCTTCGCCCTTCTCTCCCCATCTTGCAGTTTGTCTCTTTACCCAGTCCACCTTCCCTGGTGCTGGGGATTGAACCCAGGGCTCTCACCTGTTAAGCATGTATTCTACCACTGAGCTACACTCAAGCCCTGCAATTCACCACCTTAACTGTAATGAAGTAAAATGCTATTATTCATATAGTTTTATTATACAGATTTGAAAGCCCTACCAACTCATAATTTCAAAAACACACTTCCTGGGCATGCCTATAATCCCAGCTAACTCAGGAGGCTGAGGCAGGAGAATAACAAATTCCAGGTCAGCCTGGGCAATGTAGTAAGATCTCAGTGTTTCCTGGGTTCAATCCCCAGTACTGAGGGTGAGGAATGAAGACACACACATAACATAAACAATAATTCATACTGTGGCTTAAACATCACCACATTTAAGTCCTTATCCGAGTATAACAGAACAGAGCAGCTGTGATGTGACTCAGCGGTACCGGGCCCTGGGTTCCGCGGCTAGTACCACCGAGGGGGAAGAAGCATTGCTAGCTACTGACACAGATAATGCAGCAGCGATTTTGGAAAGAGAACATCATGAGAAACATCCAACAAGACGTATGCTGCCAACTCTGCACACAGCTGAAGCTGACGATGAGCTGGGGGACTCCACAGAATGCAACATTCCGGGCACAGGCAACACAATACAAGGCCAGTCAGTCAGATGTAACCAACTGACCAAGGACCAGTCTTGGCATTTAGTCTGGGGGGTCAGCAGTACCAGGGCCTCCCTGAGCTGAGAAGTTTTCTTGAATTAAAACATGAAATAGATTAAACCAGGCGGAGTGGCACAAGCCTGTAATCCTAGCAGTTGGGAGGCTGAGGCAATGGGACTGCTGCAATTTTGAGGCCAGCCTGGGCTACACAGCGAGATCTTGGCTGAAGAAAAAAAAAAAAAAAGCAAGCAAGCCAAAACCATTCATTCCTGCAACCGACAGTCTGATCTCCTGAGAACATTTCCCCAGAGTTCACAGGTTTACAGGGGAAAAGGGTGCACTGTAGTTCAGTGGTGGAGCATATGGACAGCCCTGGGGTAAAGCCCCTGCAATCCCCCCCAAATGAAAGGAGAAAAAAGTTTTTATGACAATTTTTATTAATTTCAAAATTCATTTATTAAAAAAAAGCACTTCTATTACTGAAAATGTGAAATGATTGACTGATTGATTGATAGTCTTTTTGAGACAGGGTCTCGCTATGCACTTCAGGCTGGCCTTGAACTTGGAATGATCCTCCTGCAAGTTGCTTTTCTGTTTGTTTTATGTTTCTGAGACAAATCTTGCTGTGTAATCTAGGCTGGCTGTGAACTTTGTAGGTAGCCCAGGTTGGCTCTGAACTCATGATCCTCCTGCCTCAGCTTCCTGACTGCTAAAATTATAGGCCATATGTCACAGTATCTGGCATAAAAACAAACTTTCTAGAAAGAAATTTATTATTAAGTATTAAGAATCCTACCTTTTGCTGGGGATATAGCTCGGCAGCACAGCACCTGTCTGACAAGTGCAAGCTCGTGAGTTAGATTCCTGATACCAAAAAAAAAAAAAAAAAAAGCCCCACCTTTTGACAGAGTAATTCTACTTCTAGGACTCTGCCATAGAGTATCATCAGAAAAAAAACATTACCATGACATGATAACTGAAAATTTAGAAAGGGTCTTAAGTCAACAACGGAGGATGACTAAGTTATACTGTAAACATAGTAGATACTGCAAATGTTTCAATGATCAAATATTTGTAATGATCATGGAATATCATCGCAACAGTAAGTAGCAGGTAGGCCAGGCGTGGTGGTACAGAAGGATGCACTGGAGACTGAGGCAGAAGGATCACTGTGAGTTTGAGTCCAGCTTGGGCTACAAAGTGAGTTCAAGGACAGCCTGAACTGCACAGTGAAACCCTCTCCCAAAAAGAGAAAAAAACCAAAAATGTAAGAAGCAGGCAAATGCCAACAATGGCACACGTCTATAATCCCAGCTACCAGGGAAGGTGAGGCAGGAGGATCACAGACTCAAAACCAGCCTGGGCAATTCACCAAGACTCTGCCTCAGAATAAAATATTTTTTAAAAGGGGTGGGACTACAGTTCAATAGAGAACACCCTTTAATGGCACTGGTTCAACCCCCAGTGACATTTTTTAAAAAAAGCCAAACAACCAATTATGGTGAAAAATAAGATTGTATGCACAGGTGAGGGAACAAAGATTAAAAGAAGATAAGCCAAAACATTAACAGTTTTATGTGTGGATTGTGGAATTTTGTGATGAGAAAATGGCTTACTTTCTTCTGTATGTATTTTTGGTATGATACAGGTTTTATGCAACAACATATTGCACTTACAGTGCATTTGTATTTTAAAGCTTTAGCATAGAAAAGATAGACATAAGAGAAAGTCAGTGCAAAAACAATAGTGAATGTGTAACAATTACAACTCTTATTTGCTAATTGGCACAATGTAGAAACTACATTTCTGAAACATTAACTAAAATAAACAACATAGTTTTTCCTAAGAAGTGCCATCTGAAGCCGGGTGTGGTCATGCACGCCTATTATGCCAGCACTAGAGAGGCTGAGGCAGGAGAATTGTTTCAGGTCTGAGGCCAGCTTGTGC